GAGAAACTTCTTGAGGTATCTAAGGATCCTCTCTGCAGCTTCAAAGTGAGTTGTCCTAGGATTGTGCATGAATTGACTAAGAACACCCACTTCATAAGCAATATCAGGCATGATCATAGACAAATACAAGAATCTCCCTACGAGTCTCTGGAACTTCTTCACATCTTTCAAAAACTCYCCCTAACTGTCWCCCWRCTGATGATTAGATTCAATTGGTGAGTCAATTGGTTTTACCCCCAACTTGCCTATATCTTCTAGTAGATCTAGTACATATTTCCGTTGGGAAATAAAGATGCCCTTGTGAGAGCAGGCAACTTCAATTCCAAGGAAATAACGTAAGGGGCCTAGATCTTTCACCTCAAATTGAGTGGCTAAGAATGTTTTTAGTCCCCGTATTTCAGCCTCCCAATCTCCTGTGATCACTATGTCATCCACATACACAATAAGAGCTGCAATTTTCCCTTCACCACTTTTAACAAATAGAGTGTGATCTAACTGGCATTGTTTGAACCCCATCTGTTGAACTGCTAAATGGAACTTACTAAACCAAGCCCGGGGTGATTGTTTCAACCCATATAAAGATTTTTTTAACCGGCACACCTTTTGTTCACTGCCTTTGGCACAAAAACCTAGAGGTTGGGTCATGTACACTTCCTTTTCCAAGTCACCATTCAAGAAAGCATTTTTGATGTCCAATTGGTGAAGTTCCCAGTCAAGATTTGCTGGCAATAAAAGAAGGATCATGATAAAATTCATCTTGGCTACTGGAGAAAAAGTCTTTGCATAATCCACTCCATATACCTATGTAAAACCTCCTGCTACCAGTCTAGCCTTGTACCTTTCAACAATTCCATCAGCCTTGTGTTTCACTGTGAACACCCACTGGTTCCTTCCCTTCAGGAAAGTCCACCAACTTCCAAGTGCCATTTTTGTATAATGCATCAATTTCTTCCTGCATTGCATCTGTCCATTCAGGTTTAGATAAAACTTCTGCCACATTCTTAGGAACCGGGACATTGTCCACAGAAGAGAGGAATGCACGGAATGAAGGTGAAACTTGATCATAGGACACAAAATTAGAGATAGGATGATTAGTGGTACAAGATCTAACACCCTTTCTCTTAGCAATAGGAATATCAAAATCATTTATGACTAGGGAATCAACGTTGAGAGGAACAGGCATATCAATAGGAGCAAGTGTACTTGGCTGATGAGACGGATCTGCCTCTGGTGAATCCAATGATGCTGGTTGCATAGTGTCAAGTTCCACGGCTCTTGAACTCTGTTGGTTTTTATGGCGACGATGAAAGACACGGAATGGAGGAGGATCAGGTAAAGGAGGTAGTTGAGTTTGAACCGCCTATTTCTCCTCAACCCTACTCTCCCCCCCGAGGAGAAACCGAGAAGAAAGGTTGATTTTCAAAGAATGATACATCAATGGAGACATAGTACTTGCGAGAGGTAGGATCATAGCAGCAATACCCCTTCTGAGATAAAGGGTAACCAAGGAAAACACAAGGAATAGCCCGAGGATCAAGCTTACCTCRAGTAGGGGACAAGTTATGGACAAAGCAACGACACCTAAAACACGCATCGGAATGGTGGACAACAGAGCTGTAGGAAACAGAAGCTGATGTGGGGCCTTATACTCTGGTAACCGAGATGGCATACGGTTGATGATGTATGTAGCACACAAAACTGCATCCATCMAAAAACGTTTTGGCACATTCTCAGACGACATGGTAAGCACAAGATTTTTTTATCTAAACTCTCAACTTAGGATCCCTCCTTATATCGACAAAAGATCCACACACAACAATTCAGTTCTGGACTTGATCTGAGCACAAAAAAAAACAGCACCAACTTCCAAAGAAGAACTATGACGAGACTGATTTTCACCACAACATTAATCAATAATGTGTAAGTTCCACCACAACATTAATCAATAAGAGAAATCCTCACACACATGAAATCAGACTAACGAGCAGAGAAAACAAGTCATCTACGACCTACAGTCACCTTTTCATAGGTACAGGATCACACGATCCAACAAATAAAAAATATAACCCTCACAAAAGTCTTCCGACATTCAGTGGTTTGGATTCATTTGCTCTCTGCATGGTACACGACCAAGGAAAGAAATAAAAGAAGAAAGAAAACTTTAGGGTTGTACCAGTTGTAGATCTAATTTGATCAGCCCAGATTCAGTCCTCTGTTCCGCCCAAATTCAGCAACTTGAAGAGAAAAAACTTGGTAGCCCAGATTCAACAGCCTTGCTTTGATACCATCTTGACAATAAATCCGATTGAAATATGAGGAAGTAGAGAAGAGAAGGAAAGAAGAGAGAAAGGAGAAGGAAGAAAGGAAGAAGAAAAGGTTTGGAGCAATAGAACAGTGCTGGCGGCGCCAGCTTTTATTATATTATATAGGGCGGCAGGAAATAAGAAGGGAAAAGACCCTTGTGCCCCTACTGTAAGTGAGTACAATAACAGAAATAATAGAAATAAAAAACGCGTTAACTAGCCAAACAAACCCTAACACAAATAACTAAATTATTTCAACAATATCCATTTTAGGACATGCTAAGAACAAACAACATTCAAAATTTAGCTAGCACAAGCTCTCAAAAATAAATATTGTAAAATGGCATGGTGACTCAAGAAAAAATAAAATAAGAGGCATATAACCATAAAAAGAACATATGCTTCATGCAAGGGTAAGGTAGGGAGAATAATTGAATAAACCATGGACCACTAATTCCAAGATTTTTACCAACAAGAAGCTTATTAAAATAAATAGAATAGCTGAGACACTGAGGCACAAACAAGCTGCAGTTGTTTAAATGCATAAACTCTCACTAGCAACTTATTCCTAAAGAATAACTACCTAAGCACTATAGCATTTGCTTCTACATGATGTCCACCATTCTTCACTCCCGATAAAACATGATTCCAATACTTGGGTCTTCCTCTAGAGGGCCAAATGCACCTCCACTTCGATCTGGGATCCTGTGATTGAGAGAATGGACAAGAAGCTGGCTAATACCTCTCAGCTGGGGGTAGAGTGACTCTTTTAAAGAGTACCCTTCCGAATCTTCCTACCTACTTTCTCTCTTTCTCTCTCCCATCCCATCCAAGGTGTCCAAGAAATTAGAATCCCTCCAAAGGAACTTCTTGTGGAGGGGTTAGGAGGAAAAGAATATTAATTTAGTAAATTGGGATCAGATCTGTTTGCCCGTTAAAGAGGGTGGGCTAGGAATGAGAAAACTAAAGGTTTTCAACTCGGCCCTCTTAAGCAAGTAGATCTGGAGATTTGGTGTTGAGATGGAAGCATGGTGGAGGTCTTTGATTGCTGCCAGGTATGGGGTGGACTGGGGTAACAGGAGATCTTTGGACCCATTTCAGTCATTGGGATGCTCCTTGTGGAAAGATATTATGAAAGTCTTCCCTATTTTTTCAGATGGTTTGGAGTTTAAAGTGGGTGATGGAAGGAGGCTGAAATTCTGGAAGGACCCCTGGGGCTCAAACTCCCCCTTATCTGAGCTTTTACCTAGCCTCAGCCTTTGTGCCTCCTCCTCTGATGCTTCAGTCTCTGACTATCTAGAGTGGGAAAATGGGTGTGCTGTCTGGTGTCTCCTGTCTTTAGAAGAAATCTCCATGACTGGGAGCTGGTGCAGCTGCTGGAGCCATTACAGTTATTGCAGAATCAGCAGGTTTCTATTGAAGTGGATGAAGAATGGAAGTGGAGATGGGGTTTTCTCAGTTAAATCTATGGCAGATAAACTAAGTCAAGGTGCTACTGTGGGCTTTACCAAGAATCAGATTTTGGGTCTCTACTAGCCCTTCCAAGGCATGCTTTCTAGTTTGGGTGTTGGCTCTTGATAAAGGTCTATCTAGAGCCAACCGGAGCAGGTGAGGGATTCAGATTCCTGAACTGAACTGTGGTTTATGTGTGATGGTTCCTGAAATTGGCGATCACCTATGTATGATTGTATTCATAGCACTTTGTCTGCTAAGTTGTGAGAGCATTTCAGCAATTCTGAAGGCATCAGCTGGGTTGTGCCTCAGTCTGTAAAGGAGGTACTGTGTAGTTGGAAGATTCCAGGGCTGAGCAAGAAAGGGAAGCTGGTCTGGAAAACTATTCCTGCAGTTGTCCTGGTCACCATCTGGACTGAAAGAAATAGTCGCATCATCTGCAACAAGTCTAGAACTCCTGAAGATCTGCTTAAATCTGCTGTCAATAGACTCGCATCCTGGTTATCTGTAACTTCAGATTTTAAAAATGTGAATGTTTTTCAGCTCCTTGAGTCCCACTCCATTTGGGATTTGTAATGTGGTTGCTCACCTAGTGCTTTTCCACTAGGTTGCTGTCTGTAGCCTCTTTTATCAATAAATTTTTTACCTTACCTTCTCAAAAAAAAATATATATATATATCAGATGCCAAAAACAGAACTGAACTCCATTCCCACCCATTTCAGCAGAACCTAAATGGTCATTCCCACTTGGAATTGTTAAATGCAGTAACAAATAATTAGCAGCTTTAAATCAGCTAGTATCAAACTTTTTGGACTGAACAAAAAAATTTGAAATAGTGGAGAACTTTCTTTTAATTACCAAGGCCCTTTACACCAAATCAAGTCCAACATTTAAGTCCCATTTACCACAGTGGAATAGTTGAGTTACAATTGTTCATACCACTTTGCAGAAGAATGAGAATCTTCATTAGGTAGTGAAACCCAAGACTCTGTTTCATCAAGACTTTTTTTTTTATCAAGACTCTCTAATTAGCAGATGATCATGATTGAATTCACTGAAGAACGTCCCCATCTAAAAGGAGCCACTGCCCACCAATAGCTTAGCAGAGATGTAACCTAAATACATGCTAACAATCGGCATCATATAGGACCTCACTTTCTTCAAGCTTTTACTGCCATTTGTCCAGTTGGGGACTTAACAGAATCAATGAGAAAACCGGTCTGTCAAAAAGAGAAAAAGAACAAGAAAACCACTAAACCCGTTCTGAAAATGGATACACTGAAATCCTAAAAGTTGCAATAGTGGCCCACTAAAGGCCTTAGTCTGAAAATGGATACACTGAAATCCTAATATTTAGCTCCTTCAAATGTGCAGAAAATGCTCCATATAAAATCAGTAAACAAGAGAAATTATAATTAATCAACATTTCATCCTTTCTACTTTTTTATTTTGTATGTATATTAGGGGGTTGGGGGCAACCAAATAACTTGTTCGTTTTTTACTTAACTTACTAGGAATGCAAGTGTACAACGATGAAGAAATGAAGCTTGTTTGTCAAATCAAACCCAATGCTAATAAACTAGAGAAACTCATGGAGCTAGAAACGATCAAAAACACCTCTTACTCATAGAGGGGACATAGAATAGACAAAGGATATCTTACCTTAATATCGTCGTTCGATACGCCATAATCTAAGTTGGAAATGTAAAGCTTGGTTCCGGTTTCTATTGCAGACGCTCGGGATGCCTGCGCCGGGTAAGCCGCCGCCTGATCTGTGAACATATCGTGTTGCCACGCCGAATCCGGAGCTTGAACCGACTGCATTTAAAACGATGAATACAAATCAAGACACTTCCCAATAATCATAAAAGAGGCACAAGCACGGACCAAACCCTAACCTCGACCGCCAACCGATGAATCTGAAAAACAAAATTAGGCAGGGACCGAGATTAGGTGCCCTAACTGACCTTTCCCATCGAATAAGGGGTCGTTCGATTAGCACCGCGGTTCGGAGCTCGACGGGCCGGACCGGGACCTGAACCTCTGCCTCTGCCTCTGAAATTACTCCCTCCAGATTTCTTGTTGTTCTTTATCAGGTCATCAAGAGACATGTCCAAAGAACTTGACATCTTCGACAAACCCTAAGAAGAAGGAAAATGATAAAGAATAACCGAAAGACGTAGAATAGGAAAGATGCTTTGAGTTCTGCGGAAAAATTTGATAGAGATCCGATTGTGAATAATATTGGGGTTTCGGGGAACGGAAAGATTTAGGGTTTTGCAGAGGATATGGGGAAAGGTAGAGAAGGGGCAGGAAAAGAAAAGGTCGGGGATAGAAACACAGGAGAGGTTTTTTCCGCAGGTGCTTTATATGTACTGCATTTTATAGCATATAAGGAAAATAGCTTTCTTAAATTTTCTACTGGTGTCGTGGTGTAGTTGGTTATCACGTCAGTCTAACACACTGAAGGTCTCCGGTTCGAGTCCGGGCGACGCCATTTTTTTCCATGATAAATATATAACATTCACTTCCTCAATCCTCGTGTTTAAGTACACCCATACGCACGTGTGGTGATATTATAAAATATTAAAATAACATGTTTTTAAAATATTTTTTATACTTTTGTTTGTTTTATCTATTATTGTCATTATCATTATTATTATTTTTTTGTTATCTAATTATCACATCATGGTTTACCTATGTGACTCAAGAGATTGAATTATATAGTTGTTATTAAGAAATAAAATAACTCCATTTTTGTGTTGATTTTTAATTTGTATTGTATTTTTATTATGAAAAAGATAATAATTATTTATTATCACATTTATTTTTTTTAATATATTTAATTAATATAGAATTCAATTAAATAATGAGAGTTAATACCTTAAAAATAAGACTTCTTAAGTAGAATTAAATGGGAAGAAACGCAGTAGTTCAACTTACATTTTTGTCCTTATAATTAGAGAACAACCAAATTCAAAATTTTGGGGTATTTTAGTTAAATAAAAGTTAAACACTCTCATTCACAATTTTAATAATAGTATAAGTATAGATTTATCTCAGTTTGAATTAATCAATCCAAACTTAATTCAATATAAGGTACTAGTAAATGTTTATATGCTTTGCATGTGTCAATTTTAGACATAGATGATGATAATGACATGTATCCAAACTTTTTATATTTCTATACATGTAAAATAATTTTTATTTATTACACTTTTTTTTTGTTTCGTATAGTGAATGTATAGCACTAGAGATATGCCCAATTGTATTTTGTATTTTTTTTTGGTTTTTTCATAATTTCCTGTCTTTTGCCTTCTTTAACCATAACATTAAGGCTTGACATAGTTGATTTTTTTTCTCATTCTCAAATAAAGAAAATAGAAACACACTTTTATTTATAGTCAATTTTCAAATTTATATTTCATTTCCACCATCACTAAAAACAATTATTGTTTATCACACTTCTTTTCTTTGATATGGTTGATATAAAATATTAGAGAAGTGCCTAAATATTTTTTCTATAATGTTTTATTTTGCTTTTTTTTATTTGATACATTGATATAAATTGTGGTTGGGTTCTGCTTTTTATTTTGTTTGCACAAAATGATATTACTTTTAACAAGACTAAACGTTCAGTTAAGTGGATGTTGACTTAGGTAGGAAACTATGTGCTGAAACTGGTGCCTCTTAATCTTTACTTTCTTCTACTTTGGCAATTTCAAATAAGATGAATACCAATTTGACAATTTCCCTTCTCTTGAACTCTTTGATGTTATTTTCAAGTATGATGAGGAGGGGGTAATATTGAATGTTGGGATTTCTTACGGCTTGTGTGTGTTTGATTCTAATACAGATTTCTTATTTGTTGGAAGTGGAAAGGAGTTTCGGGTAATGCTTTAGCAGCTGAACTTTTTGCTATCCATATGTGGGGGTCTCTGTCCTGATTCTTTTTTATGCTAAATCTGATATAGATTTTTGGGCCTGTGGATCTCCTTCTCTTCCTTGAGAAGTTTCTTGACTATATTGATAACATTATTAGTTTGCACAACTCTTTTTAGGGTAGTTAAGTTTAGTTATATGCCGAGAACTCTTACCAGGGCTGCCCACTCTTTAGCTCAGTTGGTTTTAGATGTTGATTTTATTTTTTAGGTGAGACAGCCTCCTAATTGTATTGAATCTTTTGTCTCTTAGTTCTATTAGTTTTTATGTTATTCGAAGTATAAAATAAGGCAGTGTTTTTTTTTAATTGAACCATTTTGTATTTATTTCTATTTTCAAAACTACATTATTTAATCTTGACTTCATGGGTTGACCTATATTTCATTTTTAGGGTCAGTTTAAAAAATAATGGATTTTATATCATTAACAGTATTAGATATAAATCTACTGAGAATAGTTTATTGGTAAGAAAAAACTACACTTTTTTTTTTGCTAGAAAAAGGGAAAATTTGTAGATTTGAATCTCTCTTGCTGACAAGACCATAAGCATCAAACAAGCAAATAAAATAAAGTTTAGAATCGACAACACTAGAATCCGACAAAGTGCATTGGTGTCCCATATTGGCCAAATGATCTACACCAAAGTTCACTTCTCTGAGGGCGTGATTGTTGGATATGTTGATGTTGAAATGAGCGCATATACCTTGGCATTCTACAATGATATTGATAACGTTCCATTGAGGATCCACACGAGCCCTAAGACCATCAATAATTAGTTTCGAGTCACCCTCTATGATGCACTGATGCTGGGGAAATTTGCAAGCAACCCTATGGGCTTCAACTGCTGCCCAAGCTTTAGCCTCATTTATAGTACTGACTCCAATTTCCTTACAATGAACTCATAGCTTTTGACAATTGTTGAAATCTCCCTTGAAGATTGGTAATTACAATCATCTGCCTTGAACTTTTTGACATAGTTGTAAGGAGATCTCTTATATTAGAATCCTCTAACAAGAGGCACAGGATGTCCAAAACAAACATGCATTTACTAACAATGCTGGTTCTACAAGGAAAAAAAAACAATACAAACTTTATGAAGAACAAAAAAAAAAAAGAATTTAAAGTTGCACTTTACCCTTGAGCAATTATATGAATGATAAATTTGAAAAATGAATTTAAATGATTTGTAGTACTTATTGTTATGAAGATAAAAATTGGAAAAGAAACATTTTGGTCAAAAGTAGCTGCATGGATATTTGGACATTTTTGTGCTTATTGTCAAATGATTATAACGGAGGAGATCTAATTGTGTCAAAAAGTTTAGGGAAGGTGATTGTAATTATCAAACTTCAAGGGAGGTTTCATCAATTTCTCCCTAGATTTAATAGAAGATAATAGGAATTGATACCTTAAATATAAGATTTAGGCCATGTGTTGTTTATCGATGAATAAGAGGGGGAAAGTTGGATAATGGGTATTGAGCCCCATTATAAAGATAGTCTCATTTATGTAGGTAAAACTTATTCATTTCTTAAGTAGATAAATAACTTTTCCATCTTGAGAAAAAATTATAAAACATAATGGGACAAATTTGTAAATTTCAACATTAAATTTTTATGGATAAAAGGGTCATTATCTTACTTACATGGGAATCAAAGGAACATGGGTAAGTGAGAAACTTGTAAACGAATAGAACCTTAGTGTGGTGGAATTGAATAAATGAAAAATGGTAGTTCATATTACATTTTATGCCCTCACAATTAGGGATGGACAAAAATGACCTCTTTAATTCTTAGAGTCCAAAGTAAGAGTGTGTGTGTGTGTTTAAAATTCTCATTTGAGGAAGGGTATAAGAAAGATGTTGCAGATGAACGGATGTAGTGTCTTGTGGGTAGGATAACTGGACATGAAGTATCTTGGCTTGAGAATTGAGATGTCTTGCTCATTGTATGGTTCTAAGCCCAGGAGAAGATTGAATAAGTAAAAAAATTAGCAATGTTTTAGGCTTTTAGTAGCAATACCTAACGTAGATGGACCAATTTTCAAGTCCAAGACCAAGCACAGAAGTTGGGCTGCTCCCAGAATACCTTATAAGTGTGAAAACAATGTCTTTTGTAGATTATCATGTCCGAGTTGGATCGTGTTGCATGTCTAAAGAGAATTTATTTATTTATTTCATGGGTAACCCCCTTACTTTGTTTTGTGACAAAGACCCCCTTGTACTATCATCGTGTGACAAAGAGAATTTATTTAAAATCTGAGTTACAATATTTTTTTAATCCCTATATTACCCTTGTAAGAAAAACACCGTTCATCTTTCCCGACCTCACAATTCCCTCCTCTCAACTTTGCCATGGTCGACAGTGGCGTCTTTCGTTTTGGATTCCCAAACACATCAAACTTTGGGAGAGATGTCAATTAATTGACGTCGGTGTTGTCAACGCCGACGGGGACACGCAGTTCACTTTGATCCCGTGCTTACCAAGATACCGACTGGCCGACCGCACCAGCCCCAGCATTGCATGTTTCGACATGACGTAGTCGTTGTAGTTCTCGGCTCTGCTGGTAGCAACCATGCTCGCCATGCACACGATGCTCCCCTTGACGCCTGTAACCACTATGGATTGCACGACATGCTTCACGCAAGTGGCCATTCCCCAGACTTTTACGGCGAAGAGATGATCACAAGTAGTTAAATCAAGGTCCAGGATACCCTGGTGGTTGTTAAAGATACCAACGTTGTTGAATATGATGTCCAGGTGATCGTAGCTTCGAACTGTCCGTTCCACCATGGACTTGAATTAATCTTCATCGGTGACGTCGCAGTGAATATAGATACACCTGTCTGTGCCAATAGATGCGGCGACCCGCTGGCCCAGTTCGTCTTGGACGTCGGCGATGATGACGACAAGGCAGACATGATCAACGAAGAGGTGTGCAGTGGCCTTCCCAATGCCGCTGCTTGGATTACCACCGTTGCTGCTGTTCTTGTACCTAAAGCCATCGATGAGATTTTCTATAAATAAAAGAACACGCACAAGTACTTCATTTAGAGGGAATCGTTTGTTTTTCGTTTTTTGGGTTTGGACTTGGGACTGAAGGCACCAGAGTTAGTCAGACCCGCAGTCGCGTCCTTTCATCTTTGTTGCCTGCCCGGTTGCACCCCCCCCCTCTCTCTGAGAGAAAGAATGGCGTGCAGTGAGGAGGATTTTCGTAGTAATCGCCTTGTTTTGAAAAAACCGGAGGAAGCAAGGCTGGTCGATCTCATCTACCTTCTATTGTCCTCTGGGCTCTGACATAGAGAATAGAAGATTTGTGGAATACTCGAAAGAAACAAGGATAATAGAGTTTCGACGTCGGTGGCTCATTTTCATCTCGGTCCTTTTACAAAAAGTTTTGCTCTCAATAGCTAAGCCCATGTCTTGGGTTGGCTCGCTGTCTGAGAAATGGCTTAACCTTTTGTCAAGCAACTGCGATTTGGTCGTGCTCTTCCATTACCGTTAAGCTCTGCGTCATCTTTTGCTCGATGGTGAACAAGTTGACCCTGTTAGCTTTGAAGCTCCCCGCAATGTGTAGTTGTTGGTGATACGATGCACTGGAGGCGTATAGGCTTCTCCTGAAACTCGCATATCGTCTTTGCCCGATGCCAAGGGGTCCATTGCGCCCCAATAGAGCTCCCGCTTCGAGTTGTCATTCTCTCGCCATCCCCTTTGCCGGAGTGTGGTCTGCCAGTCGGTATCCTGGTAAGCACAGGATCAAAGTGAATTATGTGTCCCCGTCGGCGTTGGCAACACCGACGTCAATTAATTGACATCTCTCCCCAAGTTCGCTGTGTCTGAGAATCTAGAATGGAAGACGCCACTATCGATCATGGCAAAGTTGAGAGGAGGGACGAAAATCTCTTCCCCTTCTTTGTTGATGTCTCCTTTGCTGATTGGATTACTGCCGCTGCTACTATTCCTATATCGTGAGGTCAGAGAAGATAAAATAGTGTTTTTCTTAAAGGGTGGGGATTAAAAAATATTGCAACGGCATATTTCGACACGGTCATAGTCTTTGTGGTAAAACAAAGTACAGGGAGGTCACCCTATAGTATAGGGGGAATCTTTATAATTTACCTATATGATATTGAAAAGAACGAATTTTCCACTGGCCTATGGTCTTATGCTTATTCCATAGAATAAAACAGAACTTGTGTAATGGAAATGGATCATTGCCACCACATCATTTCTTCTTCCATGCGCTAGTTAAACCCTCATGGAGATGGAGGAGCTCTTGACCGATTTCCTGAGAATGTAATGAATTAAAATAAAATATTCCACTGGTAGAAAGGAAAGCAAAGGTTTGGGCATCCACTGGGCCAAAAAAAATAAAAGTATAAAATTCGTTTTACTTTTGTTTTAAGTTTTTTTCTTATTTTTGTTTATAGTGCATATTTATATTTAAGTAAAATAAAACTGAAGCAAAACAAAGTAAAGACCCAAACCAACAGTGAACCATAAATTGCTACAAACAAACAACGCCAAATTTGCAATTTATCTGGGTTGTAAACAGTAATACAAGAACTACGAGCAAAATCAATTATGATATCATCTAATAAAAATATAGAATTGAGTGATGATAAAACTTAATGGTCCATTTGGTTGTTGAGAAAGGAATAAATTTTCCCCATTTTGTATCCAGTGTTTGTTTCCTGAGAAACGATATAATTAAAATTCATTTTCATGTGTTTGTTTTCTAAGAAAATTGGATAGGAAACATAATATCCCAAATTTGTCATCGTTTCTCACCTCCGTCAGACATGGCATGGTCGAGCACATGAATGTGTAATTTTGCCACGTGGAAACAATAATTTGGTGTGAGGTGCATATAAGATATCGCGAGTTAAAAGTTGGTATGTGATCCATTACAAAGTTGAAATGGCGATTAACTCAGAATTGCATGGCGACTAATTGTCTCTCCGTATCTACTAAAGTGAAATCCCGTAGTTCTATTCCTAACATTATGTGTTAAAATATGCAAGAATATAGCAACTTGTTATTCTATACTAGTCCTCAATGTATCATAGAGTCATCCAGTTTCCCATAAAATTTTGCAAAGCCTATGTAAAGCTTCATTTCCCATTCTTAATTGGTTATAGCAATCAATTTGCCTCCCCATATACAATCGATATGGTAGATCTTATCATTGCAAGTCTTGATTGACAAAAGGCTCCCTATCAACATAGTCTAACTATTCTTGCACAATGGTCAATGCAATTGCAACTCCACTAGTTGCAGCTCCAACGATCACAATCAACATTTTATTATCCATCTATGAGAATATAAAAATGGATGATTTAATAAAGGGGAATAAAGATAAACAACTATATATAGAGAGAATGGGAGGAAGAGAGTGGAGGGCATGGATATTAAAACAAATACTTGAAACGACAAAAATATTTCCCTAGAGTTATGCACTATGCAAGATGAGTTCAAATTAAACCTATTTAAACTTGGTATTGAATTCAGATTGCATTATGATAATGAATAGTGCCAATAAATTAAACCAAATAAAGGTAAAAGTAGCAGCTCTTTTCTGTTTTAGTCTCTCTCTCTCATAAGTTCTCTGTCCATCTAACCAAACAAAAAATATATAAAAGATGAGAGATTGGATAAAAAATAACTTATAATTCTCAGATTAAATATGAATCCAATCCCATCCATGCCCCTACATCCAAATGGATTTGCATGTGACTGGATCATCAATCTGAATCCAATTCGATTACAACCCTACTAAGACCCACCACAGTGCACACATGGTAAAGAATGAGCTTTTGCTTCCCATGCAATGAATATTCTAAGTTGGGCTAATATAAACTTTGACCTAGGTCAGTCCTAGTGGTATAATTTAAATTATAGACTTGAAAATTGATGAACCACCAAGCATTTTCTCATATTGTCCTCTCTTGTAGCATGACTTCCTGGTATGACTAGCAGGCCCTTGCCCAAATTATTATCATGGGAGCATTTTTTTCTTCAAGTTTGATGTATGGCCTCGGATGCAATCATCATGGGCTTGTTGATTTTGAAACAAGCCCTTTCCCTTTTTTTTAACGCTCCTTCGCTTTCCATTTTTTTAAACTTGTTCCCTTCCCTTTCAAGAATCAAATCTTTCAAATAAAGTGTAACACAAAGAAACTTTTCAAAAAATAGCTTATTTTAAACTATTTTGATCACTAAAAATAATAATATACTAAGAAACTTGTGGTGATCAAAAGAACATTTAAATATTGCAGATAGAACAAACATTCAATCCATTAGTCCAACAAATATGCATCCAACAATTTTTAGGTTTAAAGCATTAGCGGCTAGCATGATTCAGCCACCAATATGAAGTTAATAGTATGCTACCTACAATCATTAGCAAAGACCAGAATCAACAGAAAAATTAAAAAAAAAGGTTTTTTGGACTGTAATCCCCCTCAGAAATTGAATTTGCAGCCCCCTCCTAGTCTACTGGTAGTCCCCCCTATAAACCACATATTGCCCATGAATTTGACATCAATCCGCGAGCAAGATTCAGTCCACCCCTAGTCTACTAGTAGCTGCACCTAGGGGTGGAATGAACTGTAAAAACCCCTAAAAAAATCATGCTGGTATGAAGTTAATAGTTTCACTAGAAAAAAAGAAAGAGTTTATACGGTCAACAAGGGTATGTGGTACCTCAACCTAAGAATCCCCTACTTGGTTTGCTTGAGATGACCTGAAACAAAGTAAAAATGAAAACAAAAAAATGCAAATATGAGATCAAGTATTATCATCATAACAAAATGCTAGAACTGAAACAAAACGAAATAAAACAACAAATCTAAAAGATTATTTTTCAATGCATACATGCTTGGTTTGCATGCATAGAGCAAATAATTAGTTTGCATTATTATTTCACTTTTTCATGTTTCCATTTAATTTATTATCTGAATTTTCATGTTTCCATTTGATCTTCATTATATGAAAGCATAGAGCAAATTAGTTTGCATTATTATTTCATTCTTTCATGTTTCCATTTGATCTTCATTAATTGATGACAGAGCAAATAATTTAATTTTCATTGAAGATGACGTTTGACAGACTACCAAGAAGAAGAATCAAAATACAAGAACAAAGGAAAATAATCATCCAAAATAAACTAAATAAATCTAAAGAGTAATTATGCTAAAACAATGTACTCCCTTTTGCTGTAGATTTCAACTTCAAAGCTCAAAGTGAGGATATCCTGTCAAGCACCAGAGATTCATTGGAAACTCAACTTGCAAATGGGGATTGAGCAGTATTGAAGTGTTCTTATGGCGTTGGTAAAACGGAGACTATTTCAGGTTACCGATCGATCTGAAATAAGTCTATCAGATCTAGAAACAAGTTTATCAGGTTACAAATATGAGACCAACCCAAATCTAGAAACAAGTTGAGGTTACAAATTTGAGACCAACCCATATATAGAAACAAGTCTATCAGATCAAACGCCAGATCTGAAACATATATATAACAGTATAGATCTAGAAAAGAAGTCAGATCTTGAAGACACATATATCGGAAGCCAAATCTGGAGCTTCAACGTTAGAATGAACGCCACAGAACGGTAGATTAGGCGGTTTCTGGCTTTGAACGACCAGGGGTGGAAGAAGTAGATGACAGAAAAATTTTGTGGGGGAACTCATTCACTGAAAAACGATAAAAATGGTACAAAAAATGGATGTAACTCGCAAGAGGATGCCAAATATGATATTACCTCCAAAAAAAATCGTCAGAGGCGACGGCAATAAATTAACCGTTGGACAGTGTCTGAGAAGAAAACGATGCTCGAGTAGCCACTTTCGATAAATCTTTCTCACTTGATTTCCTTTCTCACTGGGATCACACCTATTTGTTGAAGCCCCACATCCCAAAATTTGAGAAACCCTCAAAACAAATCTAGAAAAATAAGAATCCTAAAAGAATATTCCTATTTTCTTGGGGATTTATCTAGAGACAAACCATAAATGTGATATTTATCTAGAGACAATTTCTATATAGTATAAATTTCTTGGGGATTTTCACTTAATACTCCCAAACGAAATGGGCAGAACTGTTCTCAAGGAACCAGGATGCAGCTGATTGCCACATCTCACTATGGTCTACTGCTCGTCATTTAGATATTGGAATCAGATACTGTCAGATATGGGTAAAGTTGAAACGATAACATTCTAGTCTCTTTCTTGGGCCTCTAATGCACACTACTAGTGCTAACTATTTACATTACTATTGAAATAAAGAAGAAATCGTGATGACATAAACTAAACTAGAAACAACTATTACAGTGTTCACAAATTCAGACAGCAGAATTTTCAAACAAGAAAGATTCCCATATCCCGCAAATTGTACGAGTTTTCATAGAGCAATTAGCTACTCCGGCCTCCGCAAACAGCTATATATGTTGATTATCTTGAAAAACACAAACCCTCCATTCCTATTTAGCATGTAATAGAAAAACCACCAACCTTACAAGAAACCACCCTTCGTCCACCGGGTATCTGATTTCCCATTCTGACCCTCCAGTCTCTTACTTGAAGAGCCTACGTAGAAATTGTCATAGTCATCATCTTTAGCATCATCCCACCCAGCCCAACTGTCACCATTCTGAGATGATGCTCCCTTTCTGGACTCGTCTTTTCTATCGTCTTTGTTGTCCCAGTCATCCCAAGAGCCAGAACTGACAGAGTTGAACTGTCTACCCGATGAGGAGTACCCTCCTCCAGAAGAATTCCACCCCATGCTCTCCTGCCTGAACTCCTGATAATAGCCATTCTTCTCATTATCATTTCGCTGCCAGTTATCAGCCTTCCAATTAATGCCTTCTTTTGTGTATTCTTCAACCTTCTGTGAAGCCATTGCCATGACTCCTTTCATAATTCCCCAGGTCTTTTGCCCAATCTCAGTAGTTTTTGCAGTGACCACAGTTACTGTCTCATTTACCTTGTGATCATAGCCTCCATCTCTTACCTGCAAAACCGTAGTTGTGCATTTTACTCAAATAGAAATTTATTCATATAATTATAAAATCATCAAATATAATCCAGGCAAATGGTAGAATCGCCAAAAGTACATATTATTAATAGGCATCTACAGTATATATAAAAAATTATGTTATTGCTTTATTAAATAGAATATACGTCTAGCACAAATGCACAACTTATTAGAATTAAAAAATCATACCGAAAGCAAGTCGGATTTGTGCAGGTGAAAAATCTCTTCTTAGGCAATCAGATTCCATGGTCAAATAGGCTAGGGAAACGCTCTTGAGTGACCCAATGAAAAAATTGATAGGGCTATCTAAACTTCTGATTATTTCAAAGTTTAAGGTGTAAACTAAAATGCTTAAATGGTGTTTAGAAATCACATGGAATGAATGGCATTAATTGAGTTTTCCAGACACTTAAACCGCAAGTTTCATAGTAAGATGGAGCCACTACCTGGATGTCAGAACTGAAATCATAAATAGTATCACTTCCTTTCTTTTTGTTTTTTTTGGTAAAATGCCATTTCAAATGGAGAACTTACACAACAAAATGAAATCAAAATTGAAATGAAATGATTTCTTTCCAGATGGTTCCGAGACACCCATCATTGCCTGGCTGTTTCATTTTATATGTTATTGTCCCCTTACAGATTATGAGTGTAATTCCATTGCATATTGGAGCTTGTAACTTATGAATTATGATCTATTTTTTATTTTCGCACTTGATTGTAAACAACTTTTATAGGGATATAGCAATGCAATATGAACACTTAAATGAATGAACGTAACTGGATTGTTCAAGAAAAAATTATTCATAGAGATTCTCTAAATGATCAACCAGGCATTTTGAAAAAGGAAGCAAATGCATTCAGAGCCCAGGTCTCATGTTGATTCTTGATTGCAGGATGCCATGTGGGGAGGGATAACCTTCCTACTTTATTCTAAAATAACTTGTGTTGGGTCCATAACTGAATTACAGATATAAATTAGCAATGTTGCTAGTCAAACTGGGGCACCACATTTAGAAGATAGAAATTCCATACAAATTCAAGAAGGATCAATATAGCCAGCTTGGTTGCCATACAAAATGGAAGCATTTAGTTTTTGTTTTACACATTGAATCAATCCACTCAGTATGTTTAGAAAAACGAAGAGTTGAATTTCAAAAAAAAAAAAACCTGAAATTACCATGTTCTAATATCTTATAAACAACATGGAATAGAAACTTTTGTACTCCAAATTCTAAAATGTAAAGAAACACTACAGCTGAATCATACATTAAAAGTCAAGTGGTCTGTAGAGGCTATCAATGAACTGTAATCATCTTCTTTCTGCCCCACTTCTTTCAGTATGAAAGGGGCAAGAAACTTAATCTATAAAATGTCAGTTATACTTTTGGCCCTTCTATGGCCAAAAACATTGTTTTCCACCCCCTTTAAATAGAAACAAAGTAACATAAGAAAGACTTCAGTGTAAACCAGGGATTATGAGGTCTAACAAAAAAGGGAAGAAAAAGATAAAAGAGAAAGGTGGTCCCTATGGAACTATCTTCAGATGAGAAATATATATAGTAACATACTGCTAAAATTAAGGACAAATGAATCAGAAAAGTCATATACCTTGGAACTGAACTCTTTTGTTCCTGCTTGGACAACATTAGCAGCAGAAGCAGCAACAATAGATAGCCTACCAAGTCCCTGAGGCAAACAGGCGGTGAAAATTTCAACTTACAACCAAATAGCGGTCAGAGCAATAACACCCAACAATCATGTAAATGGAAATGGATGGAGACTGGAGAGCCATATCCATGTGGAAAGGAAATAAGAAGAAAATCATCATCTATAATGTCTCTGTCAAGACATTCCAAACACAACTCCTAAAAAGAAAATGGCACAATATCAAATTAAGATAAAAAAACCTCAACCATAAAATTACTAGCATGAAAGTTTTTGCAGGATTCATGTAACCCTTAAATTTTTCATATAAATAAAAACAAATTGTAACAACCACTAGAGAGCTTCTCCCTCAGATAAGTGGCATCTTATTTTCTCAAGAAAGAGCTTTCAAAAGTGGTTACCTCCACTTTCAAACAAAAGCTTCATTCCTTAGACATATATGCCTACCGACTCAAAAAAAAAGTATGAGCTTCAAATGATAGCTACCTCCACTCTCAAAAAGGATAAAGGAAAAAAAAAACAAAAACTCATTTCAAATGATGTAGGTTCCAAAAACTCATTCTCTAGTAAAAGGGAAAAAACAGGACCCTTCCACTATTCTAATACGGAGTCCAAAAGGAACCAAGGAATATATGGATCTCTAATAGTATAGAGTAGCTCAATTACAACCTCCACCTTCTTCTCATCTTGATATATTATCAGAAATCCCTGAATTCCATTCCAGACACCAATAACAAATCCATTCCATACCATCCAAGCAACTTCAGAAGTTGGTAACATCCCATGGAATCCATCCTCCAAAGTTGAGCTTCATAGCTACCCAACCAGATATAATCATCATTAAAAGCTAGATTCGATTCAGCCAAGGTTAAGAAAAGAGATTGTACAAACAGAAAGAGAGAAGAAAGCAAGAGAAAAAAAATAAAGAAAAGAAGGGAGAAGAAAAGTAAAATCTTCCCAGGTGGCCAGACCCTTGATATATTAATTATCATGAAGTACGAACCAAAAAAAGTAGGATTCATGGACAATCACATAAATAATATTATATACACCCACAAATACATATCGATATATGATTTTTAATATTATTTTTGAATTCGTAGAACCATATAAACATAACAACCTAATTAGTTAAATTGTTTTTACAATTGACAAATTAAACTCACAGCCTTTTCCTATTTGCCACATGGCAATGCTAGTTTTTCATTGTTTTCCTTATTTTGATAATAATTGGGAAAATGCAAAAAAACTGGAATGCAAGAGAGGAGATATGTAGACTGAGGGGTGCACAGAGGTCATGGGTTCCATTTCTTACTATGCTTGTATTATACTATTATTCCATTTTTCTGATAGTAAATTTATGTTGCAATTCTTCTTCTTGTATCCAGTAACTTAGGAGCAATTGTGGTTTTGGAAAATACAATCATCAGCTTTGTATTTTTTTTCTCCCGGTGGTGGGATAAGAGGAATAGAAAGAAGATAGAAAGTAATAACACATTCATGCAATGAAGCTATAGTAAGTAGAGTTAAGGAGAACTGACAACCCAATGAGCACTAAATATGATAGAAAGCAACAAAAATGGGAAAGAAAGCCACAGAAGTCAAAGAACAATTAAAAAAAAAAAAAAGAACTCAATTTTCAAAAAGGAAGGTCCATAAGAAGTAGTCAACTGCCAACACCCTATAAATGCTAATGTAATGTCCTTATACTTGCTACATGTCTTGTCATAATAAACAAAATAGTATATTGAAGCAGATGGGCATAGCTTTATCAAGCATCAAAAAGTGAATATTTGATATTTTAAAAATGGTAACTACACTCAATAATTTTCAATTATTAACTAATGAAAAATGTTTGATGGTGAACATCTTTGACAGCCTGACAAGTAAACTGTCATCCACTTGATCTCCATATACTGGTACTTCTTTTCCTGTCTTCCCCCTATATGTGGATTCAATTGATCAGACCCTAAATTTCATTTACAGACAAGCTTCTCGATCCTCATTTCAGTAAACCACAATCCTTTATTTCTTGTTCTAGACTTCTAATCTCATCTCCACTTCTATTACCTTAGATCAGTTGTCCAAAAAACAAGATTCAACAGAAAATTATCTGGCCAAGTACCAATCTAACTGTGGAAACTTATTGTGTTGGCATTTTATATCGAGATGAATTTAGATACTCAAGGTGTTCGAAAACTAAAGAGAATTGGACTACGAGCTCCCTATAAATATTAAATTCTAGCCAGTTCATAAAGCAAGAAGCGACCTAAAACCATTTTGTGTCGATGATATGCAAGGTTCTCAAACACCAAAAAAACCTAGGCCGACAATTAACAAAGACCTTTTCACTCGACAATTAGATAAAGGTCATGAGGCTATTTATCATTTGCATTTAACCAACAAGTATAATCAGATTTTAAGTAGCAGAAAATTTAAAATTAAAAAAAAAACAAATTACGATAGACAAACAAAAAGGTTCCAAGGGAAAAAGAGCTGCTTACCTGAGAAACAACAGACACGGTATTCCTAATAACATCCCCTTGCGAATTATTCCGTTGAGTTGGCGGAGGTGTAGATCCAAACCCTACGTACTTTCCCCCTTGAGAAGGCGGAACCCCTTCAGGCCGAGATTCGTTCTCGGCAACTTTCCTTGAGAAAAAGCTCTCTTTGTTTGCAGCTGAAGCCTCCAACTGAGACCTCGTGTAAATATCCTCGGTCGACCTTGATCTTGCAGGCATTCCTCTCGCGCCACCATTACCACCACCACTCCTAAAATCCCCTGTAGACTGATTCCGCCGTATATCCGAATACCGAAAACTATCATCGTTGTCCCAACTATCCCAACCTCCATTACTCCCCAAATTAGCATCTTTGGCACCACCACCGCCACCCTGCGCCAGTGGAGGCTTCTTCTTCCCAATCCCTAACGTTTCTTTAACGACTGGAGGATCACGCCACGGACGCCCTTCAGCTAGAGCTTGAATTCTATCGCGGTAAACACTGGCAGCATTGGTGTTGTACTTTGTGACGATATCCGTCTCTTTAGGGATCCCGTATTGAGAGAGGAACGCGTTGAGTTGCTCGTTGCCGCCGGCTTCCATCTTCTTGAGCTGGATCTCGGACCAGGAGTCCATGGTCACAGATCGGACGAAGCTGATGTGAACGCCGAGACCGCGGTGCTTGCCAGAACATTCAAGGCACATGAAGATGCCGTATGATACAGACGCCCATTGTGGATTTTTCTGTGAGCAATCAACACAAATCTTGTTGCCTGGCTGCGATTGCAGGTCTCGGAGGCGTCGAGCGGCTGCCATTGAAACCCGATCCAATTGTTCTGGATCGGATTTAGAGAACCCCCAAAAGCTAAAAATAGAAATAGGAATTCGATGGTACCGACCAAAATATCAGAAGATCGAGGAGAGACTGATGATCTAGATATTTTAGATTGGAAATCCAACGAGATAGGAAATCTAGGGCAACGAGAATCAGGGCAGATCGGAAGGCGTCTCAGCTATCAGAAGGTGCGGAGCCGGAATTCGGTGGATTTTCGGTTTTTTTTTTTTAATTCCCTTTCCGTTCCGGTGTTTGAGACAGAGAGAGGGAGGGCAAGGGATAGAGAGAGAGAGGGGGTACAGACTACAGAGGATGTGATTTCGTCTCTCAGCAATCAGCACGCTCCTTCTCTTCTCTTCCCCGGAGAAAGTTGGTGTTGCCGACACTATCAAAATATTGGTAGTGTAAGAAAGGAGGACCGTCTCTTTAAAAAAGGTAATAGAGAATAAGGAAAGAATAATAGGAAAATTTTTAAAATATCCTATTATTTCTTATAATTATCACCAACGACACACTTATCTTTTTTTCCCAATGTTCACCAATTGTGCCTACCAAATCCGGCAAAGCACAACACCGGATGATACATACAAATGTACGATACGATCCGCGTACCATGGGCCATGGCTTTAAATCTATCTTCAATTTGTATGATTCCTTCATTTTCTGTCCATCGACCATGGTGTCTCTTCAAAACAAGAGAGAGAGAGTTAAAACTTAATATCCATCTCTTACATGGAGACCAGCAGATACATACCTGGAAGAAGCCGCAGTCTTTACAAGTCAATGACAGGGATTGTGGGAAGATAATTGGCGTTGGAGATGACAGGAGGGTCCTAATCGGGGTGCAAGTATCGAGGTGGGACTGTGAATATGGGCTCTTTGGCCAACTCTTGGACGTTAGGTATTGGGAGGGAACTTCCCTGTCTCAGCAGCTCCGATGCCATGGCTGTGATTCAGCAATTCTGTGTTGATCAGTTGATGGAACCTTTGGTTATAATGAACTATATGAACCTCGATTTATGTAGCGATCCTTCAAACTGTTCTTCTGTCGTTTGTCAGGACAGCTGAGCATAGAATTCCATTCGTGGAACTAGTGTCCCATCTTCAAGTAGTTCTCTCATCTCCTCAGCTTTCATTTGTAGAGCTTTGGCTATTTGCTCTAAAAGAATCATGGTGAGCTCTTTTAACTCCGATGAGTAAGAACCGAAGATTTCTCTGTGTGTACAGACACAGAGTGAGCAGCAATGAAACTTCCAAACTAGACAATGAAAGTCGCATATTCTTTTCCCTTTCAAAAGAAAAGCTTTACAAGTTGAAACTTCCAAAAGATTTATGGAGGTGAGAGAGTAAGCAGCAAGAAGACAGTTTTAGTTGGTCATGAGTCGTTTGGATATTTTCGGTCTCTTGATCACAAGAAATTCCCCCTGGGCTTCCTAGTATATCCCGCTCTAATACAAAGTCACGGATTTACATGTCGTTCTGGACGACTGTATCAAACTGAAAGACATTGATTAATAGCTCAAAAAGAGCAGGGGTTCGGACAGGTTTAGCTATAAAGTACAAACTTTAGGAATTTTGGGTTGCAGCATCGATAAACGGTATTGAAGAGCTCAAAAAACTGCAGGGGTTTGGGTAGGTTTTGCTCTGAGGAATGTTGGGAGGTCTAGAGCTTTGGCAAGCATCGTTCATGTTTGCAGTGATTCTCGACGACCACGGTGTCGGTAAGTGTGGGGCTGATGAACTTGGTGGGTTGCTGGTTCAAGGCCATGCCTAGCTGCCATGGCACCGGACGACTCGCCGGGATGACGATGTGAGCGATCTTTACAACCTGTTCCTCCATACGGGGAGCTGGTACCAGATGAGTTCTAGGCAATCTAGTATGATGGACAAGCTTGGGTCTTCTGCTTGTCATTCGTGATATCTTATTTCTCTTGTTCTCTGCGTCGAAGGAAGAGGGGAGGGAAAATTTTTATAGATTGGATTTTATTTTGAAAATTTGAGGAACATGGAAGGTAAATTCAACATTTTATTTCATGGAAATAGTAAGGGTAGAGTTAGTCAATTAGCTAAACTATAAGGATATTTTAAAAAATTTGCCCAAAAATTTACTCAACACTGTTTCAGTTTTCCGGATTTTCTGGAAATTCATTTATCTCCCCTACAAAATGCTCCTGACTTCCCATTTCAATTCTTATCACTGAAATTCATTTTACTCCCCACGTGAATGGGAGTGAGAATAGGAATCAACAAGAATGAAATTTCATTTACAAGGAAGGGGCAGGGAATGGCCATTCCCTCAAATTGGGAATGCTATTTTAGCAGAAATGGGAATGGGATTCCGATTCCACCCAACCAAACATTTGAAACCGGAATAGCCCAATCCGATTCTGGTTCTCCACTCCTATTCTTGCAAACCAAACAAGGTCGTAATTTTTTATCATTTATTAACTCATCCTTTTGCCTGATCATGCAGAAACATCTAAGGCATGTTTGCTATGGTAGTTGTTTTCTCGGGCATCATTTGTATCAAATTTGTCTTGAAAAGGGGGATGTGGGTGGTGTTTAGGGGTGAGCACGGGTCATTTTTGTTCAGTTCCATGGCATAACGTAGAACCTACCCTATAAGGGTTGGTTACACGTTTTTTGAACCGGAACCTATCTTGTGAAGGTTGGTTCTAGGGTTGATTATGGCCTTAGTGATTCCGGGATCAGTTCCAGGGTCTACCCATGGAACTTGTTCTTTGTTTATTCTCCCCCTTGAAAAAAAACATGTTCTTTAAAAACATGATTTTCAATGATATATATAGTTTAAAATTTATATTATTTTTATTCATTAAATTGAGTAAGTTAATATGTAGACTATCATTATATGGTTCAAAACTTACAATTTAAATTTAATTTTTGTAAATATTACCTTTTACATTACTTAATATACACATTCAAATGTTAACATAAAAACGAATGATCAAATCACTTAAAGCAACTCAATAGTCAAGTGAGACCATAGCCTTTGTAACCATGAACGTTTGGGTTCAAATCTTTTGATGGAGGCCCATCCCAAGGCCCATCTCACCCCTAGGGGCGGCAGCTCCTAGGATAAGGTCAAGAGTCCAAGATAAGTCAAGAAAGGATAATAG